TTGGGATGATGAAGGACTGATGGTGGAATTTTTCCACAATGATATGAGTGTGCCTAATGTTTTCATTGAATTTCACGCGGCCCAAATTTTCATAAGGTATTCACATCGAGGGTGAATTGCAATTTAGATCTCTTCTGCATCTCATCAGCACCCCAAGCGGGTCTCGAACCCGAATTATGGTAATGCAGCGTATAGTCTCAGCACGTTAACCACAACGCCATACTACCACAAATGCCCTGGGGTCACAGAGCGAAGTGAATTTCAAGGTAAGCGAGGCCTTTCTCATATTACTTTCTGTGGTGGGATTGTCGATGAAGCAAAGTTGTATTTGCTAATACAATCGATTAGATTAGTTATTTTTGTCATTTAAGCAGGGTTTCAAGACTCCTAGTAGACGCTGAATAAGAACTATGTTCACTTTATTTTATTTTGGGTGATAAGGATGTGATAGTTGAATTTTTGTACATTGATATGAGTAGCACTTCCGTTTCTATTAAATCCTTTATAGTCTCGAAACCGTACTTAAAACAGAAATAAGTAATGCAGTTGTCTGCATCAGGAAATAAAACGTTGCTTCATGGACGATGTTACTACAGAAAGTAGTATGAAAAAGGCCTAAGCTTTCTCGAAATTTTCTTCTGTTCTTTGTCCCAACGGCACTTGCAGCAATGTGGCATAGTGATTATATTATGCACACCACAGGCTTGCTAACTGTTGATAGTGCTGATTAGATCTAGGCGAGATAATAAACTCAGTCCTGTACAGCCGAGATCAGTATACATTTCGGAAGCAAGGCTGTGTGAAATTTTATTTCATCATATGACCTACTCTTCTCATTGTGGGAAAATTTGCCATCAATCGCTCATCACCTTAAGCCACTTATGGTAATAAAGCCATAATTCAGGATCTACTGATATTTTTTGAAATCCTAGTTATTTTGAATGCTGTTGAAATGTTCGTGCACATCTACTTAAAAAGGGGGCTTTATTTTGCTCTAGGCGAGCTTCACGAAAGAACGAAACACTCCTTTCTTAACATTTTTTATCTTCATATTTTTAGTCCGTGATGATGAGCAGCACTTGTCCGAACCTGAGGTCGTCACGATCACCCTCCCATGAGAGGCGCTTTCGTCAAGCCAATTTCACTTACCAACCGCAGTATTCCCAGCTTCTACATCAGCCAGCCCAAATATCTCCAGCAGAAGCCCCGTCGACACCAATCACAGCTCTTTCGTCGGTTTCGAAAAGGGGACTTCTCTCAAA